AGAGAGAAGTTCTGCTCAGAAACTCTTCTGCTCCTTTTGTTCGCAACACAGGAAGAGAATTCTACTTTGTGAAGCTGAAATTGTCAAGAACGTAAACCTCCCGCTGCATAATGCAGTTTAAATATTTAGCAATTCAGCTATGAAGATTTGTGGAAATACTGGCATTGCATGTTTCACGGGGAAATATTTTGTTACCAACATATGACAGGAACTTTATTTACCGGTTACAAATTTTTTATTACCAGCGCAGAATAGACCTGTTAATCGATTACAAAAATACCCAGATCTTATGGTCGATTATTTTTATTTAACAAGCGCCACCCTACAAGAACACATGAACCAAAAAAACAAGATCACGCCCATGATAAAAACAGCAAGGTATAACCGTTCTCTCAATTTGTCGGCCATGATTTTTTTTTGAAGTTTGCCAACATTTTAAAATCATATAAAAGTGAAAATAAAAAATTGAAATTGTACGAAATTGTTGTTGCTTGAGATTGAAAATGAAAATGTGTGTGTGAGTTTGTGAGTAAATTTAAAAATTAAATTGTTTGGAAACGTCAAGAATTTTAAAAGTGACTCTCAGCGGTTCTACCTTACTATATTTTTATCATGATCACGCCTTCTTAGTAGCCCATTATAATCGCATTTAGGAAAAAAGTTGGGCGACTTTGACATTAGCCGTTTGTTTACATTTGTTCGTTGTTTACAATTTGGTGGGCTTTTTACTGCAATTTTCTTAATTTTCACTTGTGACAACGTGAGCACACATAAGGTAAAGAATAATTTAACACAACGACATGATTTATAGAAGAATTTGCATACTAAAAATGATTATTCTTGCGTTCAACAATTACGTGGTTTTTTTGTTCTCTTCGTTGTTTACTTCTTACAACAAAGATGGCGTCGAGATTTCAACAGCTAGAAAATATCTTTTTTCTTTCTTTCGGGAAGGCGTGATCTTGTATCTTTCGTTCATGACAAGAACAGTAATAGTCATTTGATTGATCATGTGATAATCACTGATGATGGAGATCTCAAGCAAGTACTTCTATCAACTTTTTAAGAGCAATATGCAAAACGTGATGTAAACATTTGTGTACATGTGATCTTCCGTCTTCCTCCAACTTATGGCCTTATTTAGTGGTCTCTTTTTAACCAACGCAAACTTTGCAAATGTGTTAGTAAGATAAATGAGAATGTGTTAGGTCGGTGTTATGCAGAAATTTTGTTTGGCAAACTGCGTGCAATTGTTGTTGCAGCAAACTCGGAGAGAGCGAGTTTGGCAACTCTCACAGCCAACTAATTTTGTTTGGTCAAACTGCAGCAAATTCGGTGTTGTCATATACAAAAATTTTATACAATTGTTGCTATACACTAAAATTGCCGCGATACCGAAGGCCAGAGAACTGAATTTATGCTGTAGGAGCTTCAAAGATTAGGGCACAGTTAATTGCCTTTACGATATCATAAAAAATATATTAATTGTGCACGTTATGTACATCTGAAATTGTCATTTCGTGTTGGCAATAGTCATGAAAACCATAATGCAACCTGCGCCAAACTCGACATAACCACCTCCGAGCCAACTAAGCAGCCACCATTTAATTTGGCAAGCAAAAGTTTGTCTGCATAACACCGGCCTTAGTTCCAATCACACAATTCTTGTAGAGCAACTTCTCTCATTCATTCCAAGTAGAGATGGGCGCGGGATAGCGAGACTCTCGGTACTGATTTAAAATTGGACGGGTTGGGAGGTATCGGGAAGATGTGTAAAAATATGGCGGGCGGGACGGGACCAAAATCCTTTCTCGACATTCCCGATAAAACCGCAACCCCCGCAAATTCACAAAATATGCACTTCTAATGTTTCATTGAGACGAAAACGAACAGCAAAGCAAAACAAAATCGGACGATGCCAGATCTGTCATTATTATTTGAAATTAATTTCAAAGACATGAACATTTTTGTCAACCTTCGATCGGTTTGTGAACCACGCCACACACGTTGAAATCTAAACCGATCGTTTCAATTTGTTGTCCGTTTGTAGCCTGCTTTAGAGATATATATCGGGACCCATGGGACCCGCGGTACAATTCTGAAAAACGTCGGGCTGGGCGGGTTCGGGACATAAAAATCGAATTTCGGGATGGGCGGTATCGGTTTTAAATATTTAGTCCCGTGCCCATCTCTAATTCCAAGCTTCAAGATAGAACAGTTATGTTTCTTTATTTGCTCGGAACTTTTGGTAATTAATACAATTTTAATAAACATTCTTGTTTACAAGCTTGTCTAATTGTTCGTGAGTATTACTGCGCTTTATAAAATCATCTAATTTTCACAGAATCACAAGTAATTGTTTATCTATTAAAATAGATTGCCAAAAAAGGTACGACCATTGTGGCTGCAGTGTTCCGCGGGGTTGAAAAAGAAAAACGTGCGATGGCAAACACAAACCGGAGTGAATATTTTAAATATATTTGAGAACTTTTCTATATGTATATAAAATGTAGATAATTATACCTTCCAGGGATTTAAATGGTCTAGGGACACGACATTGTTGCTAATCTCATTAATAGCAAAAAATTACATTCATTTGCAAAGTGGTGTGAAAAAGATCATATTTCAACAAATTGCGCTTGAAATTAACGAACAACTGGGAACCAACCTGGCTTTTGATCAAGTCGAGTCGAAATGGAAAGGTCTAAAACGTACCCACAAAAGGGTTAAAGAGTCCAAAACGCAACTGAGTTGGGAATTTTATGATGCAGTTGACGCAATCCTTAAAAATGATATTGAGATAAATCCTGTCATAACTGCAACATCTGAGAATACATGTGTTGCTGGTGGTGAGCCGGAATTTGATTTTGTTGAATACATTGTAGATTCAGAGGACTCAACTATTCGACCAAGCAGTAAAAGATGCAAAAAAAATGATCACCGCTATCCTGGAGAAAATCGAAAGCGTCGAGAGGGTAATGCAGACCGCAGCGGTAAGCAACGACAAAGGCGTCGAAGTAGTGACATAGGCAGAAGCCGTTGGGAAGCACGGAGACGTCGAAGTAGTGAAGATAGTCCAAGCGGATATGAAAGCAAACCACTTCATGGAACTCGGAACAGCCGGGAAAGTGCAGAAGATGCCAGAGAGAGGCGGCATCAGGAAAAGATGAAATTAGCCAGGAAATTTCTTGCCATATTCGAGAGAATGGTGGATAAAATTTAAAATTAAATGCTTTGTTATATTTAAGTATTTGCACTATACATATGTATGTAAATCGACCTTTTGGCTATAAAAAAATGCAATACTTGTTTATTTCAGTCATGTGTGTAATTCGTTCATTAGCTCGTCCCTTTTTTGACTTGCCGATACATTATGTTCATGTTCACTACAACATTCTTTCTCGTCTTCCTCAACTTCTATTTGTACGTCCTCATCTGGAAAATCTTCGTTGTACAGACATATGTTATGAATTATGCAGGAAGCAGCAATGAATTTCGTTGTTGCGGCAGTTCTTAGGCAATCTATGTAATTTAAACGACGAAATCTGCCTTTGAGCAGCCCAAATGCACGTTTTATGTCATCAAGGCACTCAGTATGTATTATGTTAAAAAACATTTGTTCGTCTGTGAGCCCAACCTTATCTCGAAATGGAGTGATCAACCATGGTTTAAGTGGATACGAGAAGTCGCCTAGCAAATGCTGATCCATAGCAATTTTAAAGCAAACTAAAAAACATATGAATAAAATAATTAAATTCAACATTTATAAAGGTAGGCTGAATTAAAAGTTGCATCAGCCTTTTATTTCTAAACTAGAACTGATGGAAATGTCCAATATGCGCAACAACGTTCAAATGCCGAATTGGAACTCAAGATTTCTAGGGAATTTCTACCAATTATAGTTAAGAAATAAAAGAGGCTGATGCTTTGCATTGATGCAACTTGGAGCTCAGCCTTATACTTATTTTAACCTGTGTTTATTTTATTTTCTAGTCCGGATTTCGCAATTAGGGAAGCATCATTAAGTGAACCACATTCGCCTGCGTAAAAGTACAAAAACTCCATTTTCTCGTTCGAAATCGCTTGTAGAAGTACGGAATGTGTACCCTTTCTGTTTGCATATGATTTTTTTGCGTGTTTTGGTGTTCTAATCGTCAAATGACAACTGTCTATGCACCCTATAACTCCTATAAATTGAGGGTGTTACATTTTATATGGGTTTGACTATTTAAGTATTTACATACCTTTTAATTTATGGGTTGAATAATAATGATTTGCAGTTTTTTCTGCTTCAACGCTACTTGGCCATTTTACAATTTTTTTCTCTCCATTCATCTTTAAAATTGCATCGCATACGCTGGAGATTGTCCTCCATGCTGTTGAAATGCTCACTTCGAACATACTAGCAATTATCCTGAAAGAAAAATTGCTTTACGCATTTACATATATCTTTCGAGCAAAATACACACCTTAATCCTCCTGTGTTTCCTAGGTAAAAGAGTGTTATCATTACCTGCTTTTCAAGTTTTACAGGATTTCGCCCAGTGCCATATTTTTTATGCAAGAACGGATAGATATCCTTGCAAATTAATTCAAAAAACATTCGGATTTACACGAAAACGTTGCTTGAAGGTTTTTGCAGACATTCTAGGGACTACATGCCCCGTAAATGTTTCATGTGCTTTTGCCATATTTGCCGCAACATCCTGGTCCTCATTAATGCCATCATTATCCTCATTAATTTTTTGCTTCAGGGCTTTGACAGAACTATTAATTAGTTTCTTTCGACTACTGATAACCCTGATATCTTCATCGCTATCCTCTTCACTGCTATCATCAAAAAGTAAATCAAATACTTGCTTTATAATAATCAGCTTTTCCATCTTTTTAATCAAAATAAACAGAGTTCACCAAATAGGAGAGGAAAAGTCGACTCTGACTTTTTTTTTTTTTTTTAACTAGAAATGTCCGTAGACAGATGAAAATGGCAAGGTGTCTAAAGACCCTCTCAGTTGCCAGGTTATCCTGAAG